GTATGACACTGGACACTTTTAATTGACTGTGTACTAAACAAAATATAAAGAATTACATTGTATGTTGTAATTAGCTTTTATTATTATTACTTTTATTATTATTAGGTCCTCATTTAGATCATAAAGATAAGAATCAAGTTATATTAGACATTAACAGATGTGGGCATCACCTACCTAAGGGTACAGTTAATAATTAATGGAGTGTATTATTTAATAAAGTATTATTATTATTATTATTATTATTATTATTAATTACATAGAATTATCGATAGAACGTATTAATTCAATATAGGACAGTTTAATAACAGTTCTATGAAGATTATTAGTGACACATACTGATCTGTGCTACTATCAAGGTCTTCATGATGTAGTACTGACATTTTTATTATTACCACTAAATGAGAACATCGCCTTTGCCATCATGAATGTACTAGTACAATACCTTATTAGGTAACGCTCCACCCACTTTTTGTGTTGTAGTTGTTATGGTTACCGTAGGGATTTTTTGTATCCTGACATTGGACGCACCAAGGAGATAATGAGTTACATCAGACCACTACTGAGGATTAATGATAGCCAATTGGAATCATTTATTACAAGGTATTTATTAATTAATTACATTTCCTGATACATATACAATATACTTATGTTGCATAGAAAGTTTGAGCTAATTCCGATCAAAATTAAATTTTTTACAAATTATTAAAGTTACTCAGTAATCGGACAAAAGTCCCTGTACTATATAGTACAGGGTCATGGGCAAAATTTTACCAAAATGAAAAGTAGAAAATTTTTAATTTTTATTACATTTCTTGATACATATACATGTTATTATGTTGTGTAGAAAGTTTGAGCTGATTCCGATGAAAATTGGATTCATTACGAATTTTTAAAATTACTCCAAAATCGGACAAAAGTCCCTGTACTATAGTACAGGGTCACTGGCAGAATTTTACCAAAAATGAAAAGGAGAGAATTCTCCATTTGTATTACAATTTCTGATGCATATACATGTACATGTACTTATGTTGTGTAGAAAGTTTGAGCCATTTTTAATGTAAAGTTATTAAGATACATTGATCTAAAAGTCATTTCTACATTTCTACATTACACAATATAATGTGTTACTACTAATAATGTCCATCCCATTATGATACATACAATATATTCCTCATATTCTCTTCTCCATAGGTCAGAGTGTGAGTATTATTTCTCATTAAGTTGGATCCTGACCTGGCACAGTCACGTGGTCTATGATAGAGATGATCTCCTCATGCTAACTGATCTATTCTTAGCATTTCACCCACTGATACCAATATATGTAGCCACTGTTGTAAGGTATTAATAATAGTTATTAATGGTTATTAGGCTGTAACTTTAAAAATTGAAGTCGGAATCAGCTCATACTTTCTACACAGGATAAGGGCATCAATATGTGTCAGAAAATGTAATAAAAATTTGGGGTGATTTTGAAGCCATTTTTTAAAAAACAATCATGGGCTATAGCCTTGGGTATTTTTCAGATTTTGGCCATTTTGTTAAATGGCTGTAAATTGAAAAATTGAAGTCGGAATCAGCTCAAACCTTCTACACAGCATAAGGACATCAATATGTACATGTGCCTACCAGTGCAATAAATTTTTAACTGTTTTTGTATTTTTCTTTTAACTGGTTAATCAACTATTATTAATAGTTAATTAATAGTTGTAGGTCTGAGGTATTAGAGCAGGACTGTGAGATGAGTTCTATTCATGGTTTCTTGTTAAAGTTTCCCGAGGAATTTGACGTCAATGAACTAGTACACAATTCAGTTGAACTGTTCAATAAAATACCAGCACACAAGATAGCAAGCACTGGGAATATAAGACTGAATTCAAGGTACATTGATATACATGTACATGTACATATATAATATACATGTACTGGTACCTGCTAATGTACATGTATACAGTATAGTCTCTCTTAATGGACACTCTCTATAGCGTACACCTCCATTTGTACCAGTTACATTCCTTACTGGATAAAATAACCTCCACATAAAGGATACCTCTGTATAACAGAGATACTTTCAAAGTGTATATTATATAGAGGCTAGTCTGTACAATTGCATGTTATCAAAAATACATTTTTAATGGTACAACACTAAAACATCAAAAACAGATTCCATACAAGTTTCCCACAAACGCCCACTCAAACCATCACCATAGCAACAGTTGCCATAAGGGACTGTATTGATGCATATGTACAGTGTAATGTTATATAGCCATTTTAAGAAATTGACTAATTTTCAAAAATTTCCCTGTACTATAGCCCATGCTTTTTTCCAAAAATGGCCCCAAAATTACGCCAAATTTTTATTATATTTTCTGATACATATTGATGTCATTATGCTATGTAGAAAGTTTGAGCTGATTCCAACTCAATTTTTCAAGTTACGACCATTTTAAAACTGAATAATGATAATTATTAATAATCATTGCTAGGTTGATTTCATTTGGATCAATCATGACCAGAAACACTTTGAGTGGTTCATGGAGCTACTGAATGAACTGGAAATGGAACAGAATGAATATGGAACACTAATGGATCGGTTCCTTGATATGCACATGTACATCACATCAGCTTTACAAAGGACTGATGTTAAAGCATTAGGACTACAAATGGCTCTTGATCTGATACACAAAGAAAAGAACATTGATCTTATAACTGGACTGAAGACCAGGACACAGACTGGTAGACCTAACTGGGATAAGGTAATATAGGAGGAGAGAGAGAGGGAGGGAGGGAGACATAATTGGTTTGTTACTGTATAACTGAAAGTTTTGTCAGTAAAGCATTGTTGGTCTATACAGGCGATACTTAATGACACATGACTACTAAACAACAAAATAGTCCCAATGTATTGAAAACCAACAATATTGTAATATAATAACAGCCAAATCAATTAATATAGGGAGGGAGAGAGAGGGACAGAAAGAGGAAGAAATTGAAGAGAGAAGAAGAGGGTGAGAACTGAGAGTGGTCTAGTTAAACAATATTAAATGCACTCTATTTTGTTTTATTTAAAGAGCTAAAGGAGAGTGGATATGGACCAATGACAGTATTCTATTGTGGATCACCAGTACTGGCTAGAGTATTATCAGTAAAGTTGTCAGTATCATGGATTTAAAACTTTTAATAATAATAGTAATATTGTGCACTAATAATTTTTATTATATAATCTCTTTAGAATAAAATTAATAATTAATTTTTTGTACATACATGTACATTATGTATATGTAGGCGTTTTGTAACAGAATGATACAGTGTGGCTATAGTAAGACTTCCTGCTCCTCCGCTGGATAAACAATCTACAAAATTGTCTTTCTTCACTCTTGCATGTATCCTGTGACCTGCTCGTTGTGTCCCAGGCTAATTAGTACTATTATTGACATCAAGATTAATCTGGTATGTATGACTAGCTAAGACATGTACATGTACATTGCTTTGCTTGCTTAGGCTCACCCCCAGTTTTACATTTTATCTAGTAATATTCTACACTACTACATATCACATAGATATTCTCATATCTAATACCCATTGCACATGGCATGATCAAATTTATTCATCAGTACAGTTATTGATGACAATTCTCATGTGACATTGATAATAAAGAATTACCACATAAACCACTAACTATAGTGAATTTTAGTACAAATATCTAATTGGGCAAAGCCCAATCAGACAAGTAAAATTTATATGCATGTATTTATGTCATTTTTTATGCATCCTTATGCTGTGTAAAAAGTTTGAGGTGATTACGACTAAAATTTTAGTTATGGCCATTTTTTTAATTCGCAATTTTTGAAAAACACCCTCAGCAGTCATACATGTATGCTATGTGAACTTGTATATGTCTTAATTCTGCTTCAATGTTTACTTTAAAGCGTCTGAGTGTAAATAATTTTAAATTTCGTATGCATTTGTTTATAATGTGATTCAATGAAGTGAAAAGTGATGCTCTATTTTCAATAATTATCTAAAATAAACACAGAACCATGTGTGTGTATAGAACTGGGATATTTAGCTTGGTTGGGTAGTAGAGATTGAAGCTCACCAAGGTATGTAAAAGTAAAACTATGGTGACCTATGAGTTTTCTGGAATACAGCAAACTTTCATCATTATTCCTTCTCCTTCAGCAGCATTAGTTCTCCTATGGAGCTATCTCATATTATCTTATTACATTTTAGGAAGTCATTTTATCGGTCAATTGGTTACAAAAGTTGCTCCTGCCACTTGGTATGGGTATGGTTTATTTATCATGGTTTGTATTGGCTTTTCTTCTTTTCCTTTTCTGGGTCTGTTAGCTGATGTATGGATTGGAAGATACAAAGCTATACTGATTGGTATAGTATTGTGTTTTATATCATGGATTATAATAGGAATTGTATATATATTAGAAAGTTGCTTTATCTCTGGAGCAATTCTATGGAGTTTTTATAGTCTTGCTTTCATTATTAATTTTTGTGGTTTATCCAGTTTCAGTGCTAACATTATTCAGTATAACATTGATCAACTTATTGGAGCTTCAGCTGATGAATTGAGTTCTGTCATATACTGGCATATACTATCAGAACCATTAGTGGACTTGTTTTATTACCTTCTTCAGTGCTTATTTTATAGTAGTGAGTATTTTATCATGATCACTTTCATAGCATCAGGTGTATCTGTATCTCTTGTACTGGTGTCTCATTCATTCTTCAAACACAAACTGGAGAACATATCACTGATCAAGAATCCCATCAAACTCATAGTTAGAGTATTGTGTTATGCCAGGAAGCACAAGTACCCTGAAAATCGTAGTGCTCTGACCTACTGGGAGGAAGAGGCTCCTTCAAGACTAGACCTGGGTAAAGATAAATATGGTGGACCATTCACAGAGGAAGAGGTAGAAGATGTAAAGACAGTATTTCGAATGCTACCATTATTCATTGGTTTTGTTGCACTTAATTTCAGTAATGACAGCTATTGGTCTGCTGATAGGTCTTTTACATTACCAACTTGTTTAGCAGTAACAGATTCTCAGTATTATTGTTGTTCAGTTATTCTAACATTACTCTATTTATTCTTTATCAGAGTTTGTTTCTACAAGTATATTCCGAGTATGCTGACTAGAATGAGTGTTGGTATCTTCCTTGCTTTCATTGTTACTGTTTCTAAAGTGATCATATTTGTCATTGAGAGGTCTCATCCTGACATAAACAATTTTGGTAAATTTCTCTTTATTTCACAAACTGTACAGGCCTTTTCTTATATTCTTGTGTATCCAGTATCACTGGAGTTTACAGTAGCTCAGTCTCCAGTACACATGAGAGGAGTGATGGTTGGATTGTGGTATGCTACTTCTTGGGGATTCGCTAACTTTATTAATACTATCTTACAGTTTCCATTTGATTGTGAGAGTCAATACATATGTACCAGTTTCTATTATTATATAACAAAGAGTGTACTAGTTCTTATCATACTGATAGTGTTTGTGATACTGGCTAAACGTTACAAGTATCGTGTGAGAGAGAATGAAGTTAATATTGTTCAGATAGTTGATGATCATTATCAGAGATACATGGAACAAGAGGAACAATGTAACAGAGACATAGGCATCCCCTCTTAGAATGACTGACAAAGTAAGACACAGAATAAAAGCTTGTGTGTTTTTTATTCTTTTGATTTTTGCATTCTGCATGGCACTGTCATTTATTTCTTTTTGATAATCATCACACTTTGAAATCACAATATTAGTGTTTTTGTTGTTTATGATAAATTTTACATTAGTATGCTATTTTGAGTATTCATGAAGACAGCTATTTTAGGACCAATACCAGTTCCATCGTGATTACATCTCCAGTATATGCATGAGAGGAGTGATGGTTTGATTAATGGCATGAAATCCTCTTTATTTAACAGCTGTACCATACACTAGATCTACCTGCAAGCATTCCCAATTAAGCACTGCTATGCATGTACGGAATGCACATGAATAGGTCTATTATATATTAGACAGAATAAAATTAATTCACACGTACTGCACGTCATATCAAGATTGTCGTAATATCACTGTAACTCAATGTATCTAGGCCTAATTAATATTAGTTTTAAAACCATTTTTTGTCAAAAAGTAATTAGATCTATATAGTGGTCAGTTAGAATGATGCAATTTCACATGCTCATTGCAGCTAGGCACAGTGTCTATGCAGTAGGAGTGGACCGAGAGGAAATTAGATCTCAAATTGTCATAATTATGACTCACATGAAGGTCATATGACCTCTCTACTCTGAACTCCCAAGCTCAAGCAGAATGATATATAGCGACGCACTAGCCACTACTCTAGCAGTCTGGCTCATACTGGCTGGCACCTAGCAGAGCTCAGAGAACAGCCGAAGTCTGCAGGACACCGAGGCCTGTATTTTTTAGTGGACTAGATCTAGATCACTATCCCGATCCTCGACACCTAAAATGATGGGCTTTTTAGGCATACTGCTACTTTTAATTACTCTCCTGCTTATTTACTGTTGCTATCGGTGAGTATTAGATCTAGCCATATTCAGTTAACACTTCAGTGATGTTTGTTTACTCATAGTTTGTATCATGCATATGGTGTCCTTAAGAGGCTGGGAATCCCTCATCCTCCAGTTACGCCTTTAATGGGAAATGGAATAGAACTTTTAAAAATGGTAATAATTATTAAGCAATTATCTAATAAACTATTACTAAACTTTAACATAGCCTTCTACTGATTTTCAAGAGAAATGGCTTGCTAAAAGTGGAAAAGTATTTGGGTAAGTTGAAACCTATCTGTTACTGTTCAAGATGATTTATTAATGAGAGTAATATTTGGCTAAATTACCTGAGGAAAGTTAATGGCAAATTTATATTGGCGATTTTGTTCCACATGCCATTGAACATGCTCAGTTTGAAACAAAATGGCAGATTTTATTTTGGCGATTTCTTCATGAACCACCAATTGCCAATATTAATTCCTTGCCAATAAAATATTGTACGATGTATAAGTAGACAGCCTATTCAAATCTGCATAAAATTATGTTACTATAAATTAATCATGACGCAAGCATATTGTATTTTTGCAGGAAGGGTCATACAAGTAGGCATGAGTAATATTAATGATTCTATCATTAACAATGTTTCTAGTTATTATATTGGTACAAAAGTGGACATTGTAGTAGCTGATCTTGACATACTCAAGGAGATCATGATAAAGCAGTCCAACAAATTTGTCAATGTAGATGTGAGTGTACACTAAAAAGGAATTTTAATTTGTGTTTATGTAAGCAATTCCTGTACTGTGTTTATAGAGACAGCCTCAGATAATGATTGAAATACGTAGGAATAACAACATGGGACCAGGATTGCTTTTTGAGGAAGGTGAGGAATGGAAGCGTATCCGTCGTATAATTACTCCAACTTTTTCAAGCAAGAAACTTAAGCTGGTTAGTCTTATAATGCTTTTCATCAAAATCAATTTAACATGTTTTTATGACAGATGATGCCACTAGTTGATAAAAGCATCAGTTCATTATGCAGTGTATTGGAAGACATTAACAAAAAGGAACAGAGTGTCAACGTACATATGTAAAGCAAGACATTTATGATAATAATTTTAAATTGAATATTCAGAATCTATGCCCAGTTTACTTTGGAAACGATACTTGCAGTAGCTTTTGGTTCTGAAGTGAATGTATTGAAAGGTGAGGGGAGTGCACTTTCAGAAGCAGCTAATGGATTTTTTACTGATTTGAATGAATCATTCCTCGTTTGGGAAGACATTTTTAACTGTAAGTTTAGTTGGATGTAAGTATCATGCTCTCATTGTTTTATGGTGACCATAGGCTACTTCCCTACTTTGCTGAGATTTCTGAGTGTCATTGGTGCAAGGATGCTATCATTAGGCAAACACATGAAAGTTGTCAATGATACCTCATTGAGTATCATAAAATCAAGAAGAGAACACCAAATGGAACAAAGCCACAATGGTAACAAGGTTTGTACTTGGAGCATCTAAATCTTTTGCTACACTTGCTGTACCACTTATCCCTCCTCACTTGTCGTCATCACCTTGTTGGAACACAGCAATAATAATTATAACACTATTTCATAGAATAAAAAAAGCTTCTTTGCTTTGTTGGAGTGATTTAACCATAACATGATGTATCTTGTATATTTTTTAGAGGGAAGATTTTCTTCAATTATTAATGGATGCTGAAGCACCAGATGACCCAGAGAATGAGTCTAGCAATAAGGCTTCACGTGTACTAACTGACAAACAAATTGTTGGTCTCTGCTTAGATTTTATGATTGCTGGTCAAGAGACAACTAGTAGCTTGCTGGCCTTCACTTCATATCTTTTAGCAATAAATCCTCAAGAGCAAGAACAACTGTGCCAAGCCATTGATGACTACTATCAGGAAAATGAAGTATAAATATTGAAAGAAGTTATTATTATTATTGTACTATGTTTATAGAATCCTTCTTTGTATGATGCTTCACAAAGCATTCCTTATCTTGATTGGGTCATTCAGGAGGCACTGCGTATATATCCACCAGCACCAACGTAATTGAGTACCGGTACTATAGTTCATTTTTTACTTTTACTGTATTTACTATTTAGTACGAGCCGTTTGTGCAACGAGACATGTACAGCGAATGGCATTACGATCCCTAACGGATGTAGAATTATTATTCCCATACTGAAGATACATATGTCACCAGAGTATTGGGACCAGCCTGAAGTTTTCAATCCAAAACGGTTAGACTCTACTCCTTAAAAAACTAGCCATTAATATATCCTCTTGTATGTACAGGTTTAGTCCAGAAGGCAAGGAGGGTAGGAATCCTCAGGCTTACATTCCTTTTGGTTCAGGACCAAGGAGTTGTATTGGAATGAGGTTTGCACTAATGGAGGCTAAGGCTTGCTTAGTGAGTATATTGAGGAAGTATAGGTTTGAAAGATCACCTGATACTCAGGTTAGCTGATTACAATCATTCATTATAGATTATTAATTTTTAATTTTAGGTACCGTTGAAAATGGTTGTAGGCTTTACTCAGTTTCCTAAAGATGGTATTTATCTAAAAATTGCAAAAGTTTGAATAAATAAATGATGCAATTTCTTTGTAGTTGACTTCTTTCTTACTTCATAATTGTGCTGAGTTTTATTTGCTTAACTTTATAATGCATTCAATTTTTGCTGTTTTATAGTTAGTATTGTTTTAATGCAATGAATGTATCCATTAATTTTGAGGCATTTTTACAAAAAAATTAGTATCATAATTTTAGTTCTAAAATTATATAATTTTGATTTGCGTAGAGTACAGTATAAAGCATATATATATTGTTGATGATCTAAATTGGCACTGCAAATAAAGACTGAAAATTGATTGGTCTGTTTGCATGGATCGGTTTAGATCTGTTAGCTGATGTATGGATTGGATGATATTTCTATAAAAGTAGGCAAAAACTTAGGAATTGGAATAAATTGGAAAGTTGTTTCACCTCTAAAATAGTGAATTTGTCAATTTCCTTTAGTTTTTTTAGTTATAAAAACAAAAAATACTAGGCTCCAGCTATGCAGTGGGAGGGGAAATTTTACTATAGCTATGAAGATCATATGACTCACATCACATGAAAGTCATATTGAGTTATACCTAGCAGTACTGGCAATTACTGACTAGTGAGTGAGAAAGCTCATGAGAAGAGTCTGTAAGTGGATTAAGAATTAAACTGATAGATAAGATATAGATTGTCTATTTCTACTCCCAGAATGATGAGCTTTTTTGCCATACTGCTGCTTTTGATTACTCTGCTACTTGTTTATTGTTGCTATTCGTGAGAATTACATTTAACCATATTAAACACTTCAGTAATGTTTGTTTATTCATAGTTTGTATCATGCATATGGTGTCCTTAAGAGGCTAGGAATCCCTCATCCTCCAATCACACCTTTTATGGGAAATGGAATAGAAATTTTAAAAACGGTAATAATCATTAGCAATTGGACAAATTATGGCTAAATTAATTTTACTTTAGTCTTCAACTGATTTTCAAGAGAAATGGCTTGCTAAATGTGGAAAAGTATTTGGGTAAGTTGGCAGTCCGCTGTTATGTCCTAAAATGCACAATAGCTGCCAAAATAGCTGCTACTATAATGATGGACATTGGACTACATTAAAGCTGGCCCTCTTCTTGTCCAAAATGAATTGTAGTATTAAATTTTATTAACCATACGGTATTCAAGACCATAGGCCAGTGTTAGAAAAAGGCAGTGACCAAGAATAAACACGAAATATCAAAAACATAAATATATTGACTCAAAACAGGGATCTTATTTCCCCTGGCTATGAGCCTAAATATTAGTAATTATACATCGATAATTATAAAGATTTTTATTGCTGTGTCATTTTAGTTATTATTTGGGTACAAAGGTGAGCATTGTAGTAGCTGATCTTGACATACTCAAGGAGATCATGATAAAGCAATCTGACAAATTTGTCAATTCAGATGTGAGTGTACACTACAAAGGAATTTTAATTTTATGTGCTTGTGCAAGCAATTCCTACTATATTTTTGTAGGCAGAACCTCAGATAATGATTGAAATACGTAGGAACAACAACATGGGATCAGGTTTGATTTTTCAAAAAGGTGAGGAATGGAAGCGTGTTCGTCGCATAGTTACTCCAACTTTTTCAAGCAAGAAACTTAAGCTGGTTAGTCTCATAATGTGTTTTATCAAAACTAAATTATTATTATTTTATGACAGATGATGCCATTAGTTGAAAAAGGTATCAATTCTCTATGCAGTGTATTAGAAGACATTAATAAAAAGGGACAGAGTGTCAACATACCAAAGTAAAGCACAACATTCATGAAAATAATTATTTTAACTTAATTATTTTAGAATTTATTCTCAGTTTACTCTGGAAACAATGCTAGCTGTAGCTTTTGGTTCTGAAGTGAATTTATTGAAAGGTGAGGGGAGCGCACTTTCAGAAGCAGCTGCTGGGTTTTTCACTGATTTGAGTGAACCATTATTTATTTGGGAAGCTATTTTTGACAGTAAGTATTGTTGGATTAATATGGACTCAATTACATTATGGTGGCTATAGGTTACTTCCCTACTTTGCTAAAATATCTGAGTGCCCTTGGCGCAAGGACCCTACCATTAGGCAAACACATGAAGGTTATCAATGATACCTCATTAAGCATCATAAAGTCAAGAAGAGAACAAAGCCACAATGGTGACAAGGTTTGCATTCTGAGTATCAATACCATCTCATTCTGTTATGTCTATAAATTCATTGGGAATATAATTCTCAATGAGCATAAACCCTTCATGCTTATATTTAAAGCCTGTATGTAGTATCATTACAATAATAAAATGTGGAACAATTTTTCATAGTATAAGCAAGGTTTCTCTGCTTTGGTGGAGTGATTTAAATCATACATATAGTCTCATTTGTTTTTAGAGGGAAGACTTTCTTCAATTACTAATGGATGCTGAAGCACCAGATGATCCAGAGAATGAGTCTAGCATTAAGGCTTCACGTGTACTAACTGACAAACAGATTGTTGGTCTCTGCTTTGACTTCATGCTTGCTGGTCATGACACTACTAGCAGCATGCTTGCCTTCACTTCATATCTTTTAGCAATAAACCCTCACGAGCAAGAACAACTGTGTCAAGCCATTGATGACTACTATCAGGAAAATGAAGTATAATGGAAAGAAGTTATTATTATTATTATTGCACTGTGTATTAATAATAGGGGGCTTCTTTGTATGATGCATCACAGAATATTCCTTATCTTGATTGGGTCTTACATGAGGCATTGCGCTTATATCCACCAGGACCAACGTACTTTGTTTAATAATCACATGATTTATTTAACTATTATTTATTGTACAGCTCGTGTGTGTAATGAGACATGTACAATCAATGGTGTCACATTCCTTAAAGGATTTAGATTTGATATTCCCATACTGAAGATACACATGTCACCAGAGTATTGGGATCAGCCTGAAGTTTTCAATCCAAAACGGTTAGATCTGCTGCATCAAAAATTAATCATTAATAATTCCTCTTGATGTACAGGTTCAGTCCAGAAGGGAAGGAGGGTAGGAATCCTCAGGCTTACATTCCTTTTGGTTCAGGACCAAGGAGTTGTATTGGAATGAGGTTTGCACTAATGGAGGCTAAGGCTTGCTTAGTGAGTATATTGAGGAAGTATAGGTTTGAAAGATCACCTGATACTCAGGTTAGCTGATCACAATCATGAAAGTTTTAATTTTTTATTTATGCATGTAGGTACCATTGAAAATGGTAGTTGCAGCTTTGCAATATCCAAAGGATGGCATTTTTATTAAAATTGCAAAAGTTTAAAGATGATTGATGCAATCTCCCAGTAGATAACTTCTTTCTTTTTTGAGTTGCTTTTTAGTTGTTTTTTTTTTACTTTGCTGAACCTATTATTTTGCTGCATTAAATTTTTTGCTGCATTAAGTTTTTTTGAATAACAATAATTGTCTACTGGCATAGATAGATATTAGAGGAAACTTGAGACTGTTAGTAATGTGTAATGGAGGCTTCTTTGTATGATGCTTCACAAAGCATTTCTTATCTTGATTGGATTATTCAGGAGGCACTACCCACCAGGTATGCTTGTATCCACCAGAACCAGTGTAATTGAGTACTATGGTCCATTTTTAATTTTATTTACAATTATTTTAGTACAACGTGTTTATGTAAGTGAGATGTGTAGATCTATCACATTCCCTGAAGGATGTAGAATCAATACTCTCATACTAAAGATACATATGTCACCAGAGTATTGGGACCAGCCTGAAGTTTTCAATCCAAAATGGTTAGACACTACTCCACCAAAAATTTTAGCCATGAATAATTTCTATTGATGTACATGCAGGTTTAGTCCAGAAGGGAAGGAGGGTAGGAATCCTCAGGCTTACATTCCTTTTGGTTCAGGACCAAAGAGTTGTATTGGAATGAGGTTTGCACTAATGGAGGCTAAGGCTTGCTTAGTGAGTATATTGAGGAAGTATAGGTTTGAAAGATCACCTGATACTCAGGTTAGCTGATCACAATCATTCATTAAAGATTATTAATTTCTAATTTTTGAAAATGGCTTTAGACTTTACACAATCTCCTAAAGATGGCATTTATCTGAAAATTGCAAAAGTTTAAATAGTTTTATTATTGATGCAATCTCCTTGTCATTGACTTCTTTCTTAATTCTTTAAATTGTGCTGACTTTTTATTATGCTAAACTTTTTAATGCATTGAGTTTTTGCTGTTTAGTTTTTAGTGTTATTAATGCAGTAAATGAATTCATTAATTTTTGAGTCATTTTTACTAAAATTGAAGCTTTCATTATCATGATTTATAATTTTGATTAGCATATGGTATAAAGCAACCATACGCATTGAAAAGAAATGTATATATAAATATAAGTATACGCATTAAATCTAGTGATGCAAGCACTGTAAATAAAGACTGAAAATTTATTGGTCTGTTTGCATTGATTGGTTTAGATCTGTTAGCTGATTTATGGATTGGATGATACATTTTATAGTAGGTCTATTATTAGGCATAAACTGATACGAAATGGATTATTTTCAAAAGTTATTTCACCTCTGAAATAGTGCATGATTTTGTGATTTCAGTCAGTTTTGTTAGCTATAAAAACAAAAAATATCAGGCTCCTGCTATGTAGTAGGAGGGGACAGAGGGGGAATTTTACTACAGTGATGAAGATCATATGACTCACATTACATGAAGATCATATTGAGTTACAGAGGCTATTATAGCAGTCTGGCACTTGTTGACTAGTGAGAGAGCTTATGAATAGAGTCTGTAAGTAAAATAGGCATAATTATACTTTTAACTGCTAAAGTATATTTTCTACTCCCAGAATGATGAGCTTTCTTGGCATACTGCTACTTTTGATTACTTTGCTACTTGTTTATTGTTGCTATCGGTGAGAATCAAATTTAACCATATTAAACACTTTAGTGATGTTTGTTTGCTCATAGTTTGTATCATGCGTATGGTGTCCTTAAGAGGCTGGGAATCCCTCATCCTCCCGTTACGCCTTTAATGGGAAATGGAATAGAACTTTTAAAAATGGTAATAAGCAATGAGACAAAATTTATTAATGGCTAAATTTTAATTTTAGTCTTCAACTGATTTTCAAGGAAAATGGATTGCTAAAAGTGGAAAGGTGTTTGGGTAAGTTGACAATAAAAACTGTCTCTTATAACATAGCTTATAATGACACAAATGCACAATAGCTGCCAAAATAGCTGCTACTTTATATTGCCAGGACACTGCACTACATTGAGACCCTCTCCTTACAATTGTCCTTATCATCCTCAATGAATTGTATTATTAAATCCAGCATATGGCATTCAAGATCATAGGGCAGTGTTAGAAAAAAGGGGTGAACCAGAATAAACACAAAATACCAAAAGGCATATATTGATTCAAATTTACCCCTGGCTACGAGCCTGAATATCCGTAACTATATTAATGATTATAATTGCTATGTCATTTTAGTTATTATATGGGTACAAAGGTGAGAATTGTAATAGCTGATCTTGACATACTCAAGGAGATCATGATAAAGCAGTCCAGCAAATTTATCAATGTAGATGTGAGTGTACACCAAAAAGGAATTTTAATTTATGTGCTTATGTAAGCAATTCCTACTATATGTTTGTAGGTAGAACCTCAGATAATGATTAAAATACGTAGAAATATTAACATGGGACCAGGTTTATCGTTTGAGGAAGGTGAGGAATGGAAGCGTGTTCGTCGAATAATTACTCCAACTTTTTCAAGCAAGAAACTTAAGCTGGTTAGTCTCATAATGTGTTTTATCAAAACCAAATTAACATTATGACAGATGATGCCGTTAGTTGATAAAAGCATCAATTCTCTAATCAGTGTATTGGAAGACATTAACAAAAAGGGACAGAGCGTCAATATACAAAAGTGCATGAATACGACATTTATGAAAATAATTATTTTAATTTAATAGAATCTATTCTCAGTTTACTATGGAAACAATGCTAGCTGTAGCTTTTGGTTCTGAAGTGAATTTATTGAAAGGTGAGGGGAGTGCACTTTCAGAAGCAGCTGCTGGGTTTTTCACTGAGTTGAGCGAACCATTTTTCATTTGGCACGAAATTATTGACAGTAAGTATTGTTGGATTAATATGCACTCATTGCATTATGGTGGCTATAGGTTATTTCCCTACTTTGCTGAAATTTCTGAGTGTCATTGGTGCAAGGATGCTACCATTAAGCAAACACATGAAGGTTATCAATGATACCTCATTGAGTATTATAAAATCAAGAAGAGAGCAAGTGCAACAAAGCCACAATGGTAACAAGGTTTGTATTTTGAGGGTCAAAGTATTTTACTACACTTACTGTACCATCTCATTTTAAATTGGTTAAGAATATCATGGCAATTTAATTAACCACCGTAACAATTTTCCATAGCATAAGCAAGGCTCCTTTGCTTTGGTGGAGTGATTTAAATTATGCACATTATTAGTCTCATTTGTTTTTAGAGGGAAGATTTTCTTCAATTATTAATGGATGCTGAAGCACCAGATGACCCAGAGAATGAGTCTAGCATTAAGGCTTCACGTGTACTAACTGACAAACAGATTGTTGGTCTCTGCTTTGACTTTATGCTTGCTGGTCATGACACTACTAGCAGCATGCTTGCCTTCACTTCATATTTTTTAGCAATAAACCCTCACGAGCAAGAACAACTGTGTCAAGCCATTGATGACTACTATCAGGAAAACGAAGTATAATATATTGGAAATAAGTTTTAATATTTTTGTACTGTATTTATAGAATCCTTCTTTGTATGATGCGTCACAAAATATACCTTATCTTGATTGGGTCTTGCAGGAATCATTGCGCTTATATCCACCAGCACCAAAGTATTTTGTTTAATAGTCACATATTTTATTTAACTTTTATTTATAGTACTGGTCGTGTGTGTAATGAGACATGTACAATCAATGGTGTTACATTCCTTAAAGGGTTTAGATTTGATATTCCCATACTGAAGATACACATGTCACCAGAGTATTGGGACCAACCTGAAGTTTTCAATCCAAAACGGTTGGATCTACTCCTAAAAAACTAGCCATTAATGATTCCTCATGATGTACAGGTTTAGTCCAGAAGGCAAGGAGGGTAGGAATCCTCAGGCTTACATTCCTTTTGGTTCAGGACCAAGGAGTTGTATTGGAATGAGGTTTGCACTAATGGAGGCTAAGGCTTGCTTAGTGAGTATATTGAGGAAGTATAGGTTTGAAAGATCACCTGATACTCAGGTTAGCTGATCACAATTATTCATTATAGATTATTAATTTATAATTTTTGAAAATGGCTTTAGGCTTTACACATTCTCCTAAAGATGGCATTTATCTGATAATTGCAAAAGTTTAAATAGTTTTATTATTGATGCAATCTCCTTGTCATTGACTTCTTTCTTAATTCTGTAAATTGTGCTGACTTTTTATTATGCTAAACTTTTTAATGCATTGAGTTTTTGCTATGTAGTTTTTAGTGTTATAAATTAATGCAGTAAATGAATTCATTAATTTTTGAGTCATTTTTACTAAATTTGAAGCTTTCATTATCATATGGTATAAAGTAATCATACGCATTGAAAAGAAATATATATATATATAAATATAAGTATACGCATTAAATCTAGTGATGCAAGCACTGTAAATAAAGACTGCAAATTTATTGGTCTGTTTGCATTGATTGGTTTAGATCTGTTAGCTGATTTATGGATTGGATGATACATTTTATAGTAGTTCTATTATTAGGCATAAACTGATAGGAATTGAATTATTTTTGAAAGTTATTTCATGCACCTCTGAAATATTGCATGATTTTGTGATTTCAATCAGTTTTGTTAGCTATAAAAACAAAAATACCAGGCTCCTGCTATGTAGTAGGAGGGGGCTGAGGGGAAATTCTACTACAGTGATGAAGATCATATGACTCACATCACATGAAAATCATATGAGTTACAGAGGCTATTATAGCAGTCTGGCACTTGTTGACTAGTGAGAGAGCTCATGAATAGAGTCTGTAAGTAAAATAGGCCAAATTATACTTTTAACTGATAAAGTATATTTTCTACTTTCAGAATGATGAGCTTTCTTGGCATACTGCTACTTTTGATTACTTTGCTACTTGTTTATTGTTGCTATCGGTGAGAATCAAATTTAACCATATTAAACACTTTAGTGATGTTTGTTTGCTCATAGTTTGTATCATGCGTATGGTGTCCTTAAGAGGCTGGGAATCCCTCATCCTCCCGTTACGCCTTTAATGGGAAATGGAATAGAACTTTTAAAAATGGTAATAAGCAATAAGACAAAATTTATTAATGGCTAAATTTTAATTTTAGTCTTCAACTGA